TCCCTCATCCTCACTCGCTCTTCACTAATGGTTCTTGCAACTTTCTCTCTAAGAATCCTGCTGTTCCCCAAATCAACCATAATCCCCTCTCTTTCCCATCCACTTATAAAAACAAGAATCCCTTGTGGTCCCTCATCTTCTTTCCTGCATGGAGCAAGACGCCAAGCCCCAAACTGCACGTGCAAGCACCCACAGACTCTGCACGTGATGATGTTGCAGCCCCACGCCACACCACACGGCCCCAGGTCCACTGGGGCTCCCACGACTTCTTGCAAGCAGCCGGTAACCGCAGCCAGCCCTGCCACCCAGGAGAGCCCCGCTGCCGCCGCCGCTCACTGCCAATCGCCTCTGCGGCGTTAGGAGAGCTCCGGGTGCTATTTTGGCTGAGGGAGGAAGCGTGCTTGGGCCTTGCGCACAGGAAAATGCAGATAAACGGGAACAGCAAAAGGAAAATAACCCTCTGAAAGATGGGAGGAAAAAAAAAATAATCACAAGTCATCAAGAACCAAGATGGTTTTTCACACTGGATTTGGTCCTGTAAGGCACATTAACTGCTAGGGCTACAGCAGCAAAACTGTCTGGCAACAAAGAGTTTACCGATTCCCGAATTACAGATAGCAGGGGGCTGAACTGCAGCAGGAAGCAGAGAGCAGACATTACAGCAGGCATTACAGGAATAGCCCATCTGAAGAGCACTACATCCCCTTCAAGAGATCCAGTTTTAGAGCGTTTCACTGCAAATAAATTACATTCCCAGCAACCACATGAAGGCCCTTCAGTCTGGCAGAATCGCGACTGTGATTTTAGTAGGGCTGTCTAGGTTAATTCACTTGAGGGCGAACACAAAACTAACACCGTCCCACAGGATATTTAATGCAATCTGCTTTTAAGCATGAATTGTACAACATGGAACTAATCCTTCCCAGTATCATACTCCCCTCTCTGTTATTCCAGCTACATCTTGGTATGAGCATGACCAGTCTGAAACGCCGTGGAAGACGCATACCCCATCCCGCTCCTGACCCATGCGTACGCCCCCTCCACGGTCCCTCGAACGCTGCCCAGCCTTTACGTGCATCCCATGCCCAGAAGAGAGAGCTCCCGCACCCAGCGAATGGGCAGGAATCATCTAACAAGAAGATGGAGGAGATCAGGCACCAGGCTTGACACACGCACACTGATCGCAGCCTGCTTCTGCACATCCAGCCCGTACCCCGGCTTCTCTCCCTGTTCCCATGCTTGTTCTTCTCTAATCCCTCCCTTTCTCTAACCCTCATCTCCTCCCAAAATAACCCTCCCCTAATTACTTTTTCCCGTTGGGCCCAGTCTTGCTACATCTGTAGCCAAACCTGGTGTTTCCGATACCTCTCACTGGGTCACCTCCACCTCGCAGGGTTCTACGCCCCAGGTGGTCCCCGTGCTCCTCAAGCATCCGTGAAACTCAGCCATTTCCCCGGGTGCTCTCTGGAGCGGTCCAGCAGCTCCGTTACCTGCTGCATCCGGCCATCTCTCATGTCACGTCTACTCCTTTCTCCTGGTCCGTTCAGTGACCCAAACTGCAGGCCAGGGCCTGACCATCTGCCTACATACCCTAACAGAGAGGTCCTACATTTCATGGACATAAGCAGATCGTGTGATCATTATGAAATAAATCATTAGTTTTTAAAATTACCTAAGAACTTCATTATTATTTAGCCAGCTCAGTCCTTAAAGAACACCTCTGAAAGCACAGAAACATTAGTAAATGGATTCCCTTTACATTCATTCATGAGTACCTGAGAATAATTTTTTTGCTTAGAGAAAAAACTTAGCCTTCAATTATTTCTGAACTAAAAAAAAGCAAAAATTACTCATTTCTTGCAGTCACAATTCCTAGCAATGCCATGCTGATCAATTGATTTTTACAAGGTGCGCTATAAAAATCGAGTCCCTTGGAAGGGTTTTTCACAGTCAGGGACAGGAGTTTTGGAAGCGGCAGTGGAAACCGCTCAAGAGGAAGCTCTCCACCAAGACAAACACAGCATCAAACACCCCAGACCTTACAGAAGGCCGCAGGCACTGCTCGAAGAGCCGCATGAGATCTTCCATGGATGCTCCCTCGGTACAACAGCACCTGATTACAGCAAATGTCAAGACTGCCAAGTGTTACACAGGCTGTCTTGTGCTCAGGCGTGGTGGAAGAAGCGTACACACCTGGCTACGCCTGCTTCCTGCTAAAAGGTGCTCGGTGCTTCTCCAGGCTGGATGACCCCACACAAGCGCTCATCCCACGCTCAAAGGCCAGCTCATACTGGAGCAACCACAGCTCTGAGTGCAAGCTATGTATGGTTAAAACGGCTCTTCAGTTTTTTGGCTAATTACAAAAGTTAGCCGAAAGTTTCAAAGAAAAGGAGGGAAAAAACCAAACAAAAGCCCCAGTGTGGCTGTCAGAAGTACCACTTCTGTTCTTCAGAATGACACTGTCATCCATGCTGGTGGACGAAGCAGGATTGTTCCTAGCCCCCGTGTTGTGATCATCAACATCATCAAGTCTTTAGAGTCACACGCATAGCAGCTGTAAAAACAAATTTGAAAAAGCTGAAATCAACCTAAAGCAAAAAGCCCCAGAGGCTGATTACAGTGAAGCAACTGACGTGCAAAACAGTAATCCCTACAGTCCTTCTGAGGAAGGTGTTGATGGGAGTCTTTCTCAAGAACACCAGAAGCTGGAAGTCAAAACACAACTCCCCCACGGAGTAAGTGTTTAAGTCAAAGCCAGCTGCAAAGCCCACGAAAGCAGCCAATCATCAGAGCTACAAAATGGAGGGGCTGGATGAACAACAAGGAAATGAACTTAAAAGAAGCCACCTCCTTCCCCTAACCAGCCCATGAGGAAAAAAGACCAGTTCTTGAACACAGCCCCGGTGACGACAAGAAAAGCAGCATCCCATCCCTTTTGAAGAAAGCTGGCCAACGAGGAGCAAGACCACCATACGCCAGAAGCAAGCCCACATGGGGCTGGAAAGAGCATCCGAGACATAGAAAAAGACAGCAGACAAAGTTTAATCTAATGTGAATAAATATAAAAAGACTTAGGTATGTTTTAGGAAAGAAAAACATTTCAGCTACTTCTATCCTGTTAGCAAAACTAAATATAAAGATCTTTTTTTGAAGAGGGCAGACCTCAACCGACATCTCTCAGTGACTTGATGTGAAGTTTTGCCCTGGATGACGTCATCCAGTAGCTTTAGAGAAGGACTGAAAGGTCCTTCCGAGTGCCCCGCGCCGGGGCGCCTGCCTGTGACATCACACAGCGGCCAGCGCTGGGGGCGGCCGCCCGCCCACAGCACCAGCGCCAGGGCGGCCGCCACGCTGCATGGGCACGCCACCTGCCACCACACATGATGCGCACCAGCACCAACTCATGCAGCTCCCCTCAGGTCTCCCACCATGGATGATGCTGTGGTGCTTGGAAAGAAAGGCTATAGCCTGAGCAACATGCTAGGAGAAGGCTCTTACGGCAAAGTGAAATCTGCCTACTGCGACCGGCTGAAATGCTATGTGGCTGTCAAGATAATCAACAAGAAGAAAACTCCTCGGGACTTCCTGGAAAGATTTCTCCCCAGGGAAATAGAGGCTTTGAAACGCTTGCACCACCCTTCAATCATCAAAACCTATGAGATTTTTGAGACATCAGCTGGGAAAGTGTACATTGTGATGGAGCTGGGGCAAAAGGGAGACCTCCTGGACTACATCAAGATCACGGGAGCTATGAAGGAGGACATCGCTCGCGTCAAGTTTCAGCAGTTGGCTTCTGCCATCAAGCATTGCCATGACTCGGACTTCGCTCACAGGGACCTGAAATGTGAGAACATCCTTCTCGATGAAGACCTCAACATCAAGCTGTCAGACTTCGGCTTTTCCAAATCCTTGTCTCGGGATGAAAATGGAAGAACTATCCTCAGCAAAACCTTCTGCGGGTCTGCTGCGTATGCAGCCCCTGAAGTGCTACAGGGCATTCCTTGTGACCCCAGGATTTCTGACATATGGAGCCTGGGCGTCATCCTGTACACAATGGTCTACGCTTTAATGCCATTTGATGATTCCAATGTCAGGAAAATGATCTGTATTCAGAAACAACACAGGATTCCCTTCCCCAGCTCGAAATACCTGACTGTAGAGTGTAAGGACCTCATTTACCGCTTGCTCCAGCCCAATGTGTCTCAGAGGCTGTGCATAGATGAAGTTTTGAAACACTCATGGTTGCAGACTCCAAAATCCACGATCCCTTCCTCTCTGCCAGCTGCAGAAGAGGGTGAGTGTTCCCAAAACCTGCGTGAAGGAAAGCCTGAGCACAAGCAGCAAGCCAAATCCCATTCTGCAGAAGGGGAAGGAGAGAAGAAAACGGGATCCTCTTAAGGATGGCTAGTTTTAACAATATCACAAAGTTGGTCTAACTTGTGAGCTGCTGGTTCTCAACTTCAGCTTCTCTGGACCCCTTCAGCAATAGCCCTCTTCTTTTGCTTTACAAAGGATAGCAACAGAAGACACAGTACACCTGCTGAGGTGAATGAACAGCTTAACGCTATTATTCTCAAAAGACCTGTCCCCGATATGGTTCGCAGGGATGAGAAGTTGCTGTCAAAACACGTCGGAAAGCTTCTTTCAGTGCTGCTGACACTTAACAGCTCTTACGCTCACATTTCTCAAGTTCCTGACTACACCGGCTGCAGAATTCACACGTGCATCAACCACATTTTGGATTCAGTAAGAGGGCAGGTTATTAGGAAGTGTGAACCGATGTCTGAAACTGTATGCATACTGCTTTCATAACATACCAACTCTCTTGACAGGCCCACTGTACGTTCAAGAGCATCAGTTTAAACTCCACTTAAATTAAAGAGAAGCCCTCTAAAATTCTGGGTCGTGTCTCAATATATACATGGTTGTGTCCCCTCTTCTGCTAAGTACAAAACCAAAGAAGTTTGTCAAGGTGGAAGAAAGTCCAGTTCAACCTTTTAGGAAGGCTTCCCACATTTTATAAATAGACATGTCTGTACAGAAACATATTTAAATGCATGGCCATCTTAAAAAGAAATATATCTTTAAAAAATTATCGCCATTTTGCTCCAAGAGTCCAGAATCTTCTCTGCCATTGCAGGAAGCATCCTTTTGCTACAGCATCCCTGTGCATCCCACCCATGCAGTTCAAAGGGAAGTTGCGCCACAGCAGGAGATACTCTGCTTCCAAAGAAGCACACCACAGGCTGTTTTAGCTATATAGTCTAGACTAGCGCTGGTCCCAGATCTTGTAACCGCTGGTTTCCATTCTGGCAGCTGTATCTAGACACCCCTTAACTACCAATGGCTCACAACATCCAGTTCACAGACAGCTGAGCACAGCCAGTTCACTATTGCCTTGCTGGTGACTGGAATATTCAGAAGAAATCAGATGCCTTCCTTCTTTTAGGAAGCTGCAGTAAATTGTCTGTGATTGATGTAGTATCCTGAGATACAGGTGTCTGAGATACTGTCCGAGATTGTGGGGTGCCTGTGGGTGTATGAGGCCCACTTGCTGGTGTCTTGTAACCAGGAGTTCCTGTGTGGGCTGGGGAAGGCGTATAGCTGGCTCGCAGGGCTTTGTCGGTATATTTACTCGCAGTCCTGTTTACTAGTCTTTGCAAAGCTGGTGACATTGCTGGGCTTAGTCCTTTCGGAGTGAGGCTGGAATAGAATAAACAGTTTTAAAAGATTTTACAGTAAAAATCTGTCATTTATCAGGAAGACCATCAATGCTTCCACTGGCGAGCTCGGTGTCCACTCCCCCACCCCAGACCAGACCCGCTGGTGGCAGAAGTCATTCTGCCTGCAGGTAAACGCATCCTGTCTCTCTAGAGAGACAAGCGACAGAGAAACCTCTAAGAGGTTTCTAAGGATGTAACATCCCTCCCAAACCTGAGTGGCACTGCTTGCCTCTTCCTTTGAGCCTGTTCCGTCCTTCCCGTGACCCAGCCAAGCAAGGCTTATCATGCCTCCTCTTTGCAATGAGGCAAGACACGGATCCAGATGCATTGCTGGGTGGCTGTAGGGCCGAACAGTAATGCTGACGAGAGGGAGTATCAGGGACAGCCACCAGCCACCTTCCCTCAGGAATTAAGTTTTTTAATTTCTAAAAACTTTTAGTTTGACCGTACCTCTTCCTGCTTCCAGTACTCTTATCGTTCCTCCCTTTCTACATACGTTGATTTAAATCTCATCAGAGAACACTCACCTCCAGTTCTGCTGTCAGAACAGAAGTCTCACCTGGCCAAGTTTTCTGTCACTTTTCGAAGTGCCTCCTGCTTCTTTGCTCGGTTTTTAGCTGCCACTTCATTGGCCATCTTGAGTCCTAACCTCTCACGGCGCCCAGGCTCCAGGATCTATAAATGCATCACACGGTTCACTCACCAGGGCACTCATATGAGTGCTGCAAAAATGACTCAAAGCACCTTCACAGTTGGATTCCAGCCTACAGGGATCTAAACCAGCGAGAAGTGGGGTCAGCCCACACCTCTCTGCTGCTATATAAAAGCCAGAGAGGACACAGGGAGACCTTCAACCTGCTTCAGCAAGTAACAAAAATGGTAAAACCAGTTCCGTCAAGGAAGCAGCCATTACCTCTGGCATTTCCTCCTGCTGTCTCTCCTAGACAAACAATGTCACCTGTGTCTTGCCTAGCCTGGCCTGTAGCCAGCCAACTCTCAGGCAAACACATTGCTAAACAGCAGGAGAACCAGTCAAGGGCTTCAGAGTCTGACAAAACAGAGGCACAGACAGCAAATTAGCTTAAAGAAAAGCTAAGAGTCTCAGACGGCTCACATCCAATGACACCAGCAGGAGACAGGTGGCATGCAGGGTCAGGTGCCATTAGCAAAGCCAGAGCGCCTTTTCTGCTCTCAAGTCATACACCTGCCTCAGGCTGTGACAGCCAGAAGATCAAGACAGAGGGAAATCCTACAGTTTCTACCCATTCATCAATTAAAATCAGAGAAATCAGGCGTGTCTTCAACTTTCTCTGAAAGTCCCTCTGTCTGGGCCCATCATCAAACACTGAGTCTCACTCTGCTGCCAACAGTGTGTGTTCCACCTCAGGTATCTCCACAAAGTAGCTTTCATGTGGAGCCATGTCCACCTCCACCCTCCAAGCAGAACCTAGATTATTAGTCTCAAGGACTGGGAACACAGCCCAGAGATGTGTCAGACTCCCACAACAATGTTAATCTATTAGTTACTCACTTGCCTTTCCCTTCTTAGTCCTTCCCCCCAAAAAAGAATGACATGCTGACTCCTGACATGAAATACCTTGAAGGCTGGTCCAGGTGTTCTGTCCACATACGGCGTTTCTGACCCTTCTAGACGCAAAGGGGTGCTTTCGATTTCACCCCATGTCATAAAAGGAGACTCATTCACACCTAAGAACAAATTTAAAAAGTCATGCTCATGCAAGACATTTGACTATTCTTTCACCACAAAAAATCCAGATGAGCAAATTATGAAATGCCGCAAATCCATCAACACACAAAGGAGCCCCTCCACTGCAGAGGAAATCACAGCCAATGCTGGATAGCAACATGTGGTTCCCATTAAAAGGGCATGACCTTAAACTCGCAGGATTGCCTGTGGCTATGTCACCCTCTAGGTTACAACACTCAAGCACTGTCCTTTCCATGTGTTTATTTTTCCACTTGGTGAGCTTTTGCTTACCGTAGAGGAAAAAATGAAAATGTCGCTATTAGTCTTCTCCTCTGCTATTGTACGAAAACTCGTTCAACACAGGGAAGTACTTAAAAAGCAGGGAAATGGGCAGAGGACTTAAGATACATGTAATAGCCAAATGTACCCTCAATTCATCTTGAGGCTAGCCTGTACCAAACAGTGACTGCACCTTGTCTAACAGCTACAACTGCAGAATAGATTCTAAGAGCCCGATTAAGCCACTGGCTAGAAAATCCTGCTGTCCAGGGTTTGGAAAAAGCATTTACAATGGAGAAAGGAGGTGCGCTCCAAGTGCCACCTACAGGCTCTCCGGAGGAAAAGCCTCAGGATGTTCACCTTTTAGCATAATAACAAAACACAGGGACACATAATGGCTGGTGAAGAACAGCTGAAAATTCAGATACTACATTTCAGCTGGAAGAAAAATAATCAGTTTGTTCTAACTGAAAGTATCCTGCGGCCAATTCATCTGAACAAAAGGAATCTATAATACACAAGTGTATTCAGACAAAGGAAGAACCTAGAAAGCAGGAGAGCTGGAGGAAAACAGTAGGTTAGACTGTTAAGGAAGTGAGATACGCCACATCGCTATGAGGCAGGCCGAACCATCACTCAGCAAACTACTGGACACACTGACATGAATGCTCCTCGTTTTGAAAAATGAGCACCTGAACTCGTTGGAAGGTTAACATTTGTGAAATGCTTGAATTCTTATCTTTAACCTCTAGAGAAGCATCGCCCAGGGATAAAACAAGCAGCCACAGCACCCCAGTTGCCTAGGAAGGCTCACCGCCCTCTAGCTGATTCCTAAGCAATGGCACGGCAGCTTGCTCTGAGCCTCTCGAGTACACCGTGACTTCTCTTACCAGTGTATTGGACTAGGATTTAAGCACTGCACCGAGCTGGCATACATGGTACACAAGAAAGTCACCAACTCATGAGACATATACTGATAGAAAGCTTACCTCCTTGTCTAAACCAGCAATAACATCCCAGAGTTGAACAAACAGAGCATCAAAATAAGCACAGAAAGAAATAAGAAAACCCTCTTACCAGGGGCAGGAGAGGGGGTAGCCACAAATCCATATCCATTCACTTTTGGAGACTCTTGGGGTATCAGTTCTTTCCCATCTGGTCCCACTTTGCCCTGTTTGTACTGAAATAAAAAAGACAATGCCATTCATGGGAGAAAGGTGTGAGTCAGCTGTATCTAGCACACACACAGTTCTCCTGGTTGATGAACAGCACCAGAGGGCAGACTCTAACAAGGTTTTAGTCAGAAGAATTAAAATTATCCAACCTGAGCATTGAGGGCTGCAGCTTGCTGGAGCTGTGACTTGCTCACAGCTTGGCTAAAAGGGTCCTTCACAAAACGGGTGTTTCGATGGACAACTTCCCTGGGCTTCTTAAATACGTCATCCTCATCAGGTACACCTTGAAAAGCAAAAAGTCTTTTAAGAAAGGGCTCAGGTAACACTAGGCAGCGTGCTCCAAAGCTCCAACAAACAGGACACTTGCCAGACATTCCTACACAACACAGAATCCACCAGCAATTGCAATGTGTATCTCTAGCAATTTAAACCAAAATTTGCACTAGATTTATGCTTCCTAACACCTGAAATCTGTAAATTAAGATCAGCTTTTTTTTTTTTTTTTTAAGAAAAGAGTCAACAAGACTTTCTTTTCTCTACTTCACTGGTTTGCAGAAATTATCAATTGTACATTTATAGCCAAAAAGAAAACTGCATTTACAAAATGATGTAGCTTTCTATAGCAACCAAGGGACCAACAAGCCCAAGGAGCACTCTTTCAGCAGAAGCAAAGAATGAATAAAGATGACAAGGAAATGGTCATAAATAAGATAGACTAAACTGGAAAGAGCTTTGGTTCCTGAAAACAAGTGCTTCTATAATACAGATAATGAGCTTCTCAATAACAAATACAACATGATCAAACCTTGCAATCAGAGGCAAAAGAGCAAGGTCCAAAGAAAGAAAAGGAGGGGAAAACAAAAAGGAAAAGACTTTTTTAAACAACTTTACATATCTGAGCTTCACAGAAGTGCAGTATTAGCAGTAAGAGCTGCTCAGTCATCTATAGAAGTGCTGTAAGCACTGTTTGGAGTCAACCCACCCAGAACCCATGCCTCTCCTGAGAAACCTGCACACCTCACCTGTCGGATAATACATGAGGGTGTTTCGAGCTGTGTACTCCCAGGTCTCCAGTCCAGCTTTCACATTCTCCAGAGCTTGCTGCTCTGCTGAAGGAAGTGCCAGGTTCTCATTGCGTCGCTGAAACGGCGATAGAAAACAAAAATAAAAAGGGAAAAAAAAAATCAGGTCTGAAACAGACTCCTGCAGTCTTTTAATCAGGCATACACAACTTGGAGAGCTCAATCATGAGCTCAGCTACATGCCCTAGCACACTTTGCACCTGGCATGGCACAAGCACTCTCTCTCTGGCAAGTGGCATTTGAGAAACCATCCTGCTCCCAGGTGAGCTTGCAAACAGCAACAACTCCACATGAGGTTCTGGTATAAAAATCACGTGAGAACTAAAGAATTACATTCTCAGAAAGATTATGTTTATGACTTTGCTTATTACATCTTGTGACAACACTCGTGATGGTTCAAACTTTTTCTGTTTTTTCTCTACCTACTAATCAAAATTCAAATGAAGTCTTCATTGCTAAATAAGGGAAGAGCAACACATGACACATATCTATTATAAAGACAGTCTACAAGGCTTTGGCATGTAACCTTGGGAGAGTATTTGTACCATCCTAGTCTCGTGCAACCTGTATTAGCTGAGGCAAGCAGTAACAAAAGAACAGATGCTTCTTCAATACTTAGAGAGTTTTCAAACATTTCCAGAGGCTGTACGGGTATGGAAGCATTTTACATACTCACACGATTACTTACATGCTATTACCAGCATACTAGTATCACTGATACCAAAAAGAAACTTAACAGAATGCAGTCAGCCACTGATAAGTTATTCCATTTTAAAATTCTCACACTAATTAAACTAGACAATTACTGCCAGAAGCTATATGTTAAAGACATCAACTGATGTTGTCTTTAATAGGTATCGTCCGTATACATTTAAATAGCAGTATTGTCACTGAATACGTTAAATGAGGCATAGCGAAGCTGTCTGCTACACAAACAGCCATGCTGTGCAAGGAAATGCAATGTCTGAACAGAGTGCTGGCTGACGGGAAGACACACAACATCAGCACAAGACCGGCTCTGGCAACTTCACCTTGACCTGAAACAACCCCTGTTTTCCTTTGGGAATGTTCTCCTGCTGCCTGACTTTTAATTCTGGATGAAAGCATTCGAGCAAAGAAGATGCATAAGGAGCCACAGAGGGCATTTTTTTCTTGTAACAGACTCCAAGGGTTTACATTAGCTGGGATAAAAACATAACACTCACTCATAACAACAACAGTAAACGCTCATGTGTCAGTGCCAAACTTCATTAAAAGGCACCGCAGCTCACATCCATCACTGACACATCTGGCAATAGTGCCAGCTGCTCACTGCTGATGGAAAAAGATTGACGTGGCAGCCCTAGAACAGCCCCTGAACCTGCCATGAAGCTAGCTGAGGAAGACAGCACAGCCAGCCATACTGCGTACAGCACTTTACTTCAGCAGCTGAATGGATTATTACTGACAACAGAAACAGACAACTGAAATAAGACAGACAATCTAACTGCGAATAATAAAGGGCTGACAGACAAACAACAGCAGCTGTTCTCAGCTGCTCTCCTTGGTATTGCTGCTTCTGGAAGAGACTGCCAAAACCAGCGATACTTGCACTTAGTGCAATGCTTCACAGTCTCAAAGCTTTAGGAAGAGACAGGTCCTCAGCAACCATGTCAACACTGTTCTTGTGTTACAGATGGGGGAAAAAACAGGACTGCAAAAGGAAGCAATGAGCCGTCACAGGACCCAGGAAACTCAGGCTTAGCTCAGATTTGGATGTGATCACCCCAGGCACCTACTCTTCAAATCAAGACCTTTCTGTTCGTATTCAATAATATGAGTAATTCAACAGTCTAATGCAATAGCCCCAGGCTCAGAGCCAACGAATTCTCATCCGTATTTACAGCAGGATTCGAAAACAGAAGGTAAGATAATATTCTATTTAATCAAACAAGAAAGGAATACAGTAAAATGGTATTTCCCTGTTGTGTCACTTTGGAAGAGCAGAGATACAGCTGAGCCATTTCCCTACCTGGGCATACTCCTCTTCTGCACTGTACAGCCAAGCATGCTTGACTTTCTCCTTCTCTTTCGCCACTTCCATGATCTGCTCAAACGAAGCATTATCTTCACTCGTGTGTTTTGTTAAGAAGCTGTCCAAACTGGGAAGTGCATCTTTATCGTCTTTTTCTGCTTCTCCTAACAAGAGGAGGGAAGAAGCCAGAGAAAGGTTAATACACCTCCCTTTCTATGAGAGCGCTATACATAACTCTTAATCCCTTCTGACAGCGAGCCTTCTAGGGACCCACTAATAATGAACATGAAGCTTCGCGAAAAAAAAAAAATATATATACAGGCAGAGTGATACAATAATAAATTATTTTTTGGAAGACATATAACCAACTTTCACATAAAACCTTTCATGGCATTTATAGCTATTTGTGTTAAAGGGAAAATGCACAGGTGGCCAGCTTCTAGCAGGCATTTTTAATATACTATATGACTAGCTCTGCCCCTACAATCTTTGCTTTCGTACAGAATTAATTTCAGGCGACACAGCGTGCTGGTTTTGGCTGAGGTAGAGTTAATTTTTTTCATAGTAGCTAGTATGTGGCTATGTTTTGGATATGTGCTGGAAACAGTGTTGATAATACAGGGATGTTCTAGTTACATCTGCTAAATACCCAAAACCCTTACAGGAGACAGAGCTCACAAAAGTATTTTCCTGCTGCTGGAGAAACATCATTTTCCTACCTTCCTCCTCAGCTTTGATGCCAGCTTTGGATTTATTCCCCAGTGGAAGACCACTTGGATGCACTTCTGGCGTTTCAAATGTGGCTGGAGTAACATCTGTGACAGAAAAAAAAAAAAAGCTCACATGGTTACTACAGCACGGAACAGGACACTTACTGTGACATCTTCCACCATAGTAAGGGGCATGTGCCAAACAAGTCACAAAAGACATATCAAGAAAAGAAGAATTTAATTTAAAAGTTGTGAAAAAGACTCCAAAATATTCTATTCCATTCTGTCCCAACGACTGAACAAGATTTTGCTTTCATCTAAGACGTTATTTTTCTCCTGCTGGGAAAAATTCACAGGAGAGCCACAGGCCAGTCTATCTGCCACCCTGTCTAGAGCTTTAACCAACAGAAGCAAGCAGCAGCATAACAATCCTAACCTAGGCCAGGGCCAGCACCTACAGTAAGGGAAAAAGGAAAATCACTCGGTGACACATGCCCTTTGCCACAAGAAGGCCAGTTACCTAAACCCCACCGTGAGAGCTCAGCCAGGGGCTGGGCTTTAGTATAAGAAACACCTGAACTTGAAGTGAAAGCAAACATACAAGAGGGCACTGGATGCCTGCTAGGTGAACCTATGATAATCACAAGCTTCCAACTTCTTCTGTCCCCAATATATTAAAATCTTAAGTTAGATAAACCAGAGCAGTAATATTAGATTATAAAACCCTTATGCCCCAGTGAGCCAGTTCTTACAGGGTGCAGGTGTGTCCCTCGATGATTTACCCAAAGAGGAACCAAACTTGATAGCAATTTGTCTCATTTTCTCCAAGTCACCATTTTCTTCTGCCTCCAGATATTCCTTCTGCGCTCGCAACTTCTCCACGTCGGGAAAGAAGTCTCGCTGAATGATCTTCTCTAAACTCTGCAAACAGAGAGACAACTGCAAGGCCGCGCTGGGTCGCCTCGGAGCGCCGGCTCAGCTCGGCGCCAGCCGCACACAGCGCACGGGAAGGACGGGCAGCCCGCGGGCGCCTCAAGCCGAGGCTGGGCCGGCGGCAGCGCGCTGACAGCTGTCGCCGCAGGAGCCCAAGGGGCGGCCCCCGCGCCCCCCCGGCCCCAGGGCCCACCCGCCGGCCGGGGTT